ACATAGGCTGACATAGGCTGTCCCGGCAGACGCTTTAGGGTCCGCTGAGGTGTGGCCTTCGAGGGCATGCCCCAGTGGGACGGACCGATTGGTTTGACTTTTGGGAAAGGCCTGCTAATCTTGAGCCAGTACGGAGATTCACAGAAGCAACGCTTGCACTTCGTCATGCAAGAGAGCATGGCGCGCTTCCAGGGGGTCGAGGAAAGCACTTCGGCGGAATCCAAAAGCATAATGGCTTCTGCAGGAACTTTTTCTTCGAGAGGATCATACACGGCTACACGTGGCGTTCGCTACTTGAGCATTCCGCTGGAAGTGGAAACTCACATCTTTGGTGTCAGTGCTGAGATGGCGGATGTGGCCACGCTGTGGAGCCGCTTTGGGGGCGGTGGCGGCTGGCGGTGGGGTTTTTGCAACTGGCTCCGATGCTGCAAGTGCGGGGGGCAAAACATGAAAACTGTAGACTCGTAGAAGGACCCGGTCGCGACGTGTTTTCCCTGCAGGTGTCGTTGTTGCTGCCGATGCAAGTGCAGCAAGTGCTGCGAGGGCTTGTGCACGAAGGTTGAAAAAGCGGAGACGAATGTTTGGAATGGTGCCATGGACCACCGGCCAGGCTTCACGGAGGTGGTTTCTCGCGAAGAGAGGGAGCACGTGGACCAGTCCTACAGCTTCGACGGCCATCATCACAAGGGCAAGGAGACCCGTGACTTCACCGTGCAGCAGATGCACGTCCTCAAGTTTGTTTGCCAGCTGCCATCACAGAAGCCACAGTTGTGCACTGCATGGTTGGATCCTTCGATAGACGTAAGGCGCCCCGGAAGCGATCAGTGCAGTTCCGGCTTTTCCGCTTAAACACCTGCTCTACGTTTTCGATACAGGGTGTAGGTTCATGCAGGTTGCTGCAGAAGCATAACCGGAAGATATTGATGAAGGTGCATAGGCAATGCGGCAGGGATTTTGCAGGTATGCTCGGCCATGCATGTCGCGATCATGTAACCATGATGGTGAGCTCGCTGCCGCAATGATGGTGATCTTCTTCGCACTAGCCACAGCGACGTTATTTCCTAAGCTCCGAGGTCATGACCATGAATGCCTAGTTTTTGTGGCTTTTTTGTGCATGCATGCGCGTTGTTCCGATGCGAGGTACAGAACCCCACCATCAGGCCATCAAGCCCAAACTCGAACATGGGAAACCCAGATGGCCTTGCGTGCAGATTCCCGTTTTGTTACTTCCTGCTTCCGGTCTTGAGACCCTGTGCGACGAAGCGGGTTGCACGTGAGAGCAGCTGCTCCAAGCGAGTCTTTCTCTCTCTGAAGCCCCCAAGGTCTCTCTATTAGAGCTTTCTAGTTGCGAGTGCTCTGCAAATGTTCTCAACAGTGGGAGGTCCGGTCTGAAAGTCGTGAGCAGCCTGCGTGTGAGCTCGGCCCAGATGTCGCACAATGACGGGCCTGCTATCCAGTACGCTTGGCTCCCAGCGTGGGTGGAATCCTGGAAGGCATCCCTTGCGTTTCCAGACAAGAACGCCGTCTACACAGGAGGAGCGGCAATGAGGGTGGCAGTCACAAGGAAGACTGCGCTGCTGAGCAAGCGCCAAAAGATTGCGATCATCATCGTGCTGATCGCGATCGTGGGTGGCTTCCTGTTCTGGTACCTGGTGTTGCGAGGAGATCCAAAATGACTCGAAGCGGTCCATTTGAAAGGTCCGGCATGTCCAGCCGAGTGAAAATCCAAGGTTCAGCCGAGGTTTCCGCGGTTCTCCGCACCATTTGGACTGGTTGATGAATGAACCAGATTTCAAGCCTATCGGCCCATCCAGAGACGAGCATGTGCAATGTACGTTACAACACTGACACATCCCCAAATCTGCTCCATGCTACGTCTTGATGTTGTTCAGTCACGGATGGATGTGCCATGCACGAGGATAATAGAGGTTTGCGTAGCATCGGGCCGTGACGGTGGTCTGGCATTGCCTGCTCCCAGAGATAGTCGTGGTAGAGCCATCTTTGACCATCCCCTGAGCCACATGACATGTCTCTTCGGCTCATGGTAGGTATCCATAAATGCCGCATGACAGATCTCTTCGGTGCCAGACATGCTGATCCAAGTCAGGCGTCGATGCGGTTGGGCAAACACGCCGAACCCGTAACCCAATTCGAGTGAACGTGATGAAGGCCCCCACCTGAGGTTCAAGACGAACCAGGGGCTTGACCTTTGCAGATTTTGCATTGCCTCGGTGTTTCTGATCGATGTGCTGAATCGCGACACCACCATTCCATAGCCCTGATGAGCTGGAAACACTGAGCAGGCCAGTTCCATTTGGCATCGGGCCTCGAGGTGACTTGCAACCGGCTGACCTGCGCGAATAAGAAAGTAATAAGCACCTTCATTACGTCGAGGCTGTTTCTGGTGAGGGCGTGGCTGCACGTGATGTTCCCGGACTTGAGCAGCATCCGAACAGTACACATGGAGTCTTCGTCACGGGTCTCTGCAGCTCAGCTTGCGTATGCTCTTCACAGAAGCTTCTGTTGAACCAAAATGGAAACATGCCGCTGTGTCCGGCTCTGAAATAGTTAGAGCAGAGTGTTGCAGAACACTAGGTGGGAAGGGTGGCTTGGCAATTGATTTGGCGCTTCGCGTGCCCCAGCGAGTTCTTATGGCAATTCGCAACTGAAGAGTCCATGCATGTACTGACGACTGGTTGTGCTCTCGGGGCGATCGTTTCGCTCCAGGGGTGCTGCCTTGAGGTACCGGTGTGCGCCGAGGCAGCCTATATCCTTGAAGTGTGTGTGTGTGTATATATATATTTATACATGTACACATCTACATACATATATACACATACACATCACAGACATATATGTGCTAATACATACACAGATCATAAACACACATGGATTTTATATAGATCCATGTTGTACTCGTGGTTGCTGTGTTCTGCCGGCAGGGTCAAATCGTCCTGTCCTGCGCTGCATGCGGTCCACTCTTCAAGCTGTAGCTCGCCATCGAGAGGCAGGTTTTGGGTAGCTGCATTGCACGGTGACTGCAGCAGGTGTGGGTTCGATGCCTGCAACTTTTGCTTTCTCCTGACTTTGATGAGAAGGTGCTGAGACACCTTGGTCGAAGAGCTCCGAGATCTTTCGTATGGAGCTTGTATCGGTGTTGGGACTTCAGTTTCAATGACAAATGTTGGGTCACGCGACCGGACGTCTATGAATGTTGATGAATGGTTGACAAACTTCGATAGCTTTTCACGACATCCGCCTGGTGCAGCATGTTTGCAGTTCACCACGGCTGGTGCAGAACCTCTGAGGCACCAGCATCAGCATTACCGCTTGCCAGGCATGTTGCTGCGCAGTAGATTGGAAAGGATTGTTGTTGGGGATGGCACAAGAACAATGGTGGTTTCTTGCAAGCAGTAGAGGGGAGCATGTGGTTCATTGCCGTTCGAACGATAATGCATTTTCTTGTTGTTAACTGTGTACATTTCCACTTCGCCCCAACGGCATTGGAATGGTGCGAAGCGCAAAATACATTCTCACGTACTACCAGTTTCGACTTGACGTTCTGGTCATTTGATTATCTTGGTCCCGACAGCAAAGTACAGCACTGGATCAGAAATTGTAAGAGGCAACACGTCGCCATTTGCTTTGCTAGCCTTGGGTACAACGTTAAGTTAAGAGCGCATAGGTCCCCACATCATGCTCTTGCATCTAAGACCTTACACTCTTGTAACCAGCAGTGGTTTGCCTTTCGCCTTGAACTGCGGTAAGCCGTATGCCCGACATTGTCAGCTCGCTAAATAACATGAAAGGTGAGATAAGAAGCCCCACTCTGCGGCCCGGTTCGGATTTGAGGTTTCAGGGAAATGTCCCCTGGCAGGTTGCAGGATGTCAGATGGCATAGTTGCAAGGCACATCTGGGTGAAGAAGCTGTCTGGGCTGTTTGGCGAACCTGCCATGATCTGCCATGTGTGGGACTGAGACTGCGAAGGTCGCCCCGCTTCAGGAGATGACTGGCGGAGAGGCCTGCCCATGCTGTTTGCACACAAGATGCCTCCCTTTTCTATGGTGCGTTTCCATTCGGATGCCTCAGGTGATTTTCAACATGCTCGTGGAGCACGGTGTGGACACCGTGTTTGGTTACAGTGGAGGTGCTGTCTCAAGCCACGAGAGCAGACGGACATAGCGGGATTCGATGTGTCCAGGTGCAGTTCTGCCTTTGATTGACGCATTTCATGGCAAGAACATCCAGTGGATCACATCCTCTCACGAGCAGCCCGAGCCTTGTCTCGCCACTTGCCGTGCCCGACATCTGTTGAGTTTCGCCCGCAGTCTGGGAGGTGCTCTGGTCACTCAGCAGCGGCGTATGCGAAGTCCACAGGCAAGTTCGGAGTGGCGCAGGCCTCAGGCAACTGTACACAGCCCTCAGAGTTCTTCCTTGCCTCATCTGAGGCCATTGTGACCAGCGGCCCTGGGTTGACTAACCTCGTGACTCCCATGCAGGCGAAGGGCATGTAATATGGGGGAGAAGCATTTGAATGAAGATAGCCATGTGGGGCAAAGATCCGATCAACAAACCGGGAGAAAGGGGAACGAGCGGCTCGACGCACGGAAGGAATGCGGGGATTGAGCAGAAGGGTTGTGTTCTGAGCATGCGCACCAAGTTCATGTTGCATGGGGTGACCAAATCATGTAAACATGTCTGGGAGTCTATGCAGCAGCACGCTCAAGTTGAATAACATCGGCCGGTCTCTTGAATGTTTTGACACCCACGCCTTGCGAGGATGCTCTGACAGATGGTGTCCCCATGGTCATCTTCTCTGGCCAAGTTCCAACTGGTGCCATGGGCACTGACGCTTTCCAGGACATGACTGATGTCATCTGCTTTTGTAGCATTTTGCTTTCCAGATCCCAGTTGACTTGCAGCCATGCAGCATCTCAAGATTGAGTCTGCCCCAGGGAGTGAGGATCAGAGAGAGCATGTAGAATGAGTCGGTGTCCTCATGGTGCCGGGAAGCCTCTTGCGAAGAGTCCTGCAACTGCTGCTTCTGCCTCGGCTCATTGAGACTGGGACTCAGTGGGGTACTCACGGCCGTGTTCAGGGGATGTGACACCACGAGAACTAGAATCTAGAATGCAAGAATCAAGAATGGATTGCTATGTTTGTTTTCCTTGCGGTGCATAGAGGTGCATAGAAAGACCGTTGAGGTGCTCTTGATCTGGTATTCCATTCGTGTGATATTCGGTGCTCATCTCATGCTGTCTGCAGAAATCTTTTGGTGAGCTTCGTCGCCGTTTCCTTCCAAGGACAAAGGATGGCTCGTCCGAAGTTGACCTTGAGAACTCGGGAGCACCTCGCGTTCGACGACTTCAGTTTGCACCAGCGCATTCGCGCCTGCCCAGTTTCAGCCAAGACGCTGAAAGCCTGCGGAAAGAAGCCCAGGCCATGTCATGCAACGTCCATGGGCAGTGCCGTTGAAGTGGCCGGAGCCGAAGTTGTGTGGCAGGTGAAGTTCAGAACTGCAGAGGAGGTCGCCGGCGTGTCCAAGATGCAGAGTGCTCAGCTTAATTGCTTGCTTCAGGGATCTAACGGTGTGCTGGAGGTCCTTACTTCGACTCGACAACATGCCACGAACCAGTGCTTTAGGTGATGCAGCGGATCTTCGACTTGCGGGTGATCCTCGTAATGTACCTGGACCCGATTGGCCGGCACAGACGCAAGAGGACATTGCTTCACCGCTGTATAGTGTATAGTATGGACGACAGCAGCATCTCTTCACGTCAGGAGAGCAATGAGGCTCGCGGCAGACTGCGGCAGACTGCTTTGTTCTCTTGGAGTGTTCTCTTGAGGCATGGCCCACTGGCCACCAGCCTGCATCGCTTGCCGCATGGTCGGCCTTATCCTTAGCGTTTTGTCGGTGCCTGGGCAGGTGGAGCCAAGCACCTAGCCACGTCTGCAAGATTCTTGCGCTCAAGACTTTATATGGCTCTGGTCGAACACATTGTGTTCATGACACGAGGGGCACTAGCACAACAGTCACTGTAAATGGATCTCGTGTGTCTGCACTCAGCCCAAAGTCACAGCTTGGCTACTTAAAAGCCTGCTGCACTTCATGCTTTTCCCTCCTCGGCCCGAGATGAGATGAACTGCGTAGAAGTACTGCATTCTTGCTTTGCAAAGGTAAAGCATGGAAAGCTGTCTATGTGCTGGCAATCCAAGGCTGGTGTTGTTTTTTTCATTGTGTCGGTGTTTAGCATAGAAGATGTCATGTCGTCGAAGGTTCTCCGAGATATGGAGCATGGTTGGCCAGGACAGTTGGCTTCCAAGACAACCTGAGAGCCACCAGACTTTGTGTTGCTTTGGCTTAAGAACACGGCGAGGGCCAGCGGCTAAGGTGCGTTGGTCTACTGCTTGTTCAAGCGACTACATTGACGACATGCCGAAATTCCTGCTTGAATGATCCAAGGCAGGGCCCTCTGCCTTCCGAGTGCGAGATTCTCTCATGATAGTTCAGTTAGCTCAAATCCCACCCTCTTGAAAAGCGTGATTCGGAACTGGGAAGCGCTTGCTTTCATCTATCAGGATACTCACGACTCCGATGTTTTTGATTCCACTTCTTATGTTCTGGTCTGCCTCTCCAAATTTTGGGTGGGACGGCCAACCCGTGATCGGCGAGCTCTCACGTCCTTTTTGAGTGAAGATGACATTTCTCGCGGATAATACGCATTGGTCGGACCTAGTTTTCTTTTACGTCGGACGCTTCCTGCGGGTGAAGTTGGAGCGGCTTGTGGAATCCACGGCAGACATTCAAATCAATATAGTGTTTGATTGCTGTAACACTGCAGAGCATGGAGAGTCCTGTCGTAGCCAGATCTCTCAACTCGGACACACGCAATGCCATGCACACTACAACTACTGGAAAATCGCCATTGGCTCCTTAAACCTCCTAGGCAGAATGAAGGCTGTGCAACTGCGTAGACTCTTCCCTGACCGTAATCATGGACCTTACTGCGTACCGTCATCACTGCATTTGTCATTGATGCGCTTTTCCGGTACAAGAAAGCATGACGTCAGCCAAGATCAGTACGAAGCATTTTGGTGGGCTGTGCTGGGAGGAGGGGACAATGCAGAGCTATGGTTCCAGCGAATCGAGCCAAACTTTGAACCCATAAATGCATACTGATGCTACTGATACTGGGCTACCTCCAGGAAAGCAGATTAAAGACGAGCTATGTATCACAGAACTCTATCGTCTTCGCAAAGAAGGGGCAGACTACAAAGTAGAGAACCGTTGGACTAGAAGGTTATCCGTTCGAGATGCTACAGACTCGTTGTGATGAAAGCACCCACAATTATCTGGCTGCTGCAATAGGTTCAAACCCGGGTATGTCACAAGCCCAGGCCTATAACCGACATGCTCCTGTGGCTTTCGGTCTGAGGATGTTCGTTTGTGCTGCATCCAAGTATCCGAAGTTCCACCTTCCGTTTGCTCCTGATTTCTGCTTTGCAGAGGTGCTCAGTGTGGCAGTTCAATCCTGGTCAGATGAACGGTGGCTGTTGGCAGGGCCAGGCGGCATGCTCTTGTGACTCTAGTGCTGCCCTTGAGAAGATCCTTGGACTAGGCAGGCACACAAGTCAGAGCATTCAGGGAATAGCTCGAGCGGTCCGTGGGTGGTACGTAAGAGCTTGGAAACTGCGAGTTGTCTTGATTACAAGTCACACAGAGATGGTTTTGTCTACTGCAGCATCTTTGCCCTTAGCACCTGATACTTGGAAGAGGGCGCGAAACAGTTGCGTCACAACCTTTACACCTATCCCCTCAGTCGTCCAGCAAGTGGACCGGGGCCATGCTGCCACAGGGTCACCACTGCGAAAGCCGCAACGGGTACAACGCGGTCCAGTTTTCGGGAGGGTTGTGAGCTCAGCATTTTCGCGGCATTGCAATGTTGCTTTGTGGCAATAGAGCATCAAGGCAGCGGATCCAGCACGGCAGCATTCGTGCCAAAAGCCAAGCTCCGCAAAGCAATTCCTTGCATGACTGCTTGGCCACGTACCCTTTGACTATCTGAAGGTCATGAAGCAGATGAGTGGTATTGAAGTGCATGGTCTCCGCCCAATCGGAAAGCTGGACAGTGATGACCAGAGCACGAACATCGAAAGATGCAGGCTGCTTGCGGTCCCTGTAGAGTGAAAGTTCGTGTCCGATGTATAGTTCCCCTGCCTGTGCCAGAGGAACGTGTGCTATTCAGACATTCTCTGTCAGTACTGGCAGTGCGCATGTGCAGAATTTTCGGCGCTTCCATCCATCACATTGGGTCGGTTTACGAGGTACAGGGAAGACGGATGCCGAGTCGAAGACCCCACGTGCCCTGTGCATCAACGAGTGTCTTGTTTGCCAGCTTCTCCGTTGCCATGCAATACTGGCAGGTATAGTTCTGTGCAGTATCCCTTGACGCTCGAGGGTGGTGCCAGCAAGACCAGTGAGTATGCCAGAAGAATTCTGGCGGGCGAGTACATCCAGCACCTATGCATCTGGGCTGCTTGAGAAGCATTGACACTGAACTTACACTCTTACGCCTTGGGCTCATAGTAGCAGCGAGCAGATTCAGGTCCACCCCGAAGCCAGCCGGAGTTTCGCGCTGCTTTGCGCGCACAGCTCAGTTGCTCGTGTACACCGGTTTCGTCAGGGGCGATTCGCCCGGTGATTCTGAGGCAAGGACCATCCAGATCCTTTGGGGGAGTATGCCGCCTGGAGGCGGCAAAAGCAGTACTCTGCCTTTTCCTTCTCGTCAGGGAAACGCAACTCCTGTGATGGATGGTCTGGAACAGAAGTGTGCATTGTGCGGCGGGTTTGCCTTCGTGATGCCTCGTACAATCTCTCGATCTGCTGGAGTTTCCTTCTTCGAACTCCCGCACCTGGTGTCATCGCATCCTGCTCCGGATTTCGTCTTGCCTTCACGGCACCAGATCGTTCTGGCCTGGACAAAATACAACAAGAGGGGGGGCGGTGCGGGTTCAGCCTCACGAAATTCGGAAGATAACTCGAAGCTTTACGGCAGCGGCCGAAGACCACAATTGATGTTATCGCGTGCAATCGCGAAAGCGGGGAAGGGAAGGGAGGGCTTCAGATGCATGATTGACAAGCTGATTACTCTGATGATGCAAGCTTCGTTTTGTGCTCCGGTAACACTAGATTTTCTTCGTGTCGGGCTTTTGCCGTCAAGCTGGCACTCGGAAGTCATGCGTGGGCAAAGCACCGCGCCCCGCAAGGAAAAGGCATGCATCCATCGGTTTGCAACATGCGAAGCTGCAAGTGAAGCGAGTCCCAAATGGTCAATCTTAGAACTGCCGTTCCTAGATGCCGAGCTCGCGAGACACAGCCAGAGCACATAAATCTAGCTGCGACAGATCATTCTTGCGGGACATTGCATGTTGTTTGTCCATGCAAACGCGATAGCAGGTTAGTGCCGTACGGGATTCTCCTGGCATTGGTCATCCTCACGCTCTTTTGCTTGGCGTTTTGCATCATTGACTATCAGGCACATGCGGTCTCAGCTCGATGTGTTCCGACTTAAAGTCGTGCCTCTTTGCGTCTTGAGCAGGACCTTTCTGAGGAGGAGCACATGACAGGACACGAGCAGCATCTCTGTGCGAGCTGTGCTTTATTGAGATGTCGTGGCGATAGAAATCCAGCCTTTTTGGTGGACTGACTTGTGCACTTTTGCGATGTTGGTTGTGACACTTCGTTGCCGGGTCACACGAGCAAGATCAGGGATGGTCGGAATGGATGGCTAGCGGGCTGCCCAGTGCGGACTGGTCGAGTTTGGGTATGTGGTTCAAGGGTTTTGGGTATTCGGAGTGTTCGAGCTGAGGTGCAGCAGCACCGCAAGTTCTTGTGCTTGTTTGGGATGCAAGTTCCGGTCGTCCCTGGACAACAGCTTGACAGGGCCGCATGAAGGCGGTGAAGTGCAACATCCTGACATCAGCTTGGTGCCATTGAACTTGATGTCAGGGCAGACATGTGCGTCTGTTCGAGTAGCATGAAGAACATCATTGAACGTTCTACTGGAAAGATGCTGCCCTGTTGTGGCATCTCTTGAGAAGTCCTGGGCTTCCATCAATTAGGACAGCATCGTTCCTTCGGGGGATGCGTGCGACAGCCGCCAGGAGTTGGAGCTCGAAGGACATCCTCACGAAGTCGGAAAGGTGCCATGAGTTGAAAATGCATGCTCCAAGTTGTTTCAGTAGAGGATCGAGCACCTGAACCCGACACAGAAACCAGTTCCATCTCGAACTGTATAAGGGGAGCATGGCCTGAGTTTGTGAACAGAGAAGCAAATAAACAAGCGCATAAACCATCAGAGAAATAGACATGTTTACACAAACACTAAGCAAAGTTCAACCTAACTATAACTGCAAGTATACAACAATCACAAAATAGAATTAGACATATGAAAAACTACACAAACAAGTACATACATAAGTGAATACATAATTACAAAGATAAAGGTGAATGCATGTGAATGCAATATATAAAAGTAAGAACATGCATATTAATGCACGTATAAGCAGGAAATACTCGTAGCGGCGTGGCTGGAGGATGTTGTCGGGCACCGGTATTATAGGGGGGTGTACCGCCGCTCGCGAAGATGAATCTCGGAACAAGACTCCAGATACGATGCCCGCACGGATCTGACCACGGGTGCGCAGTTCCAGATGGGTCTGGACCAAGTGGCTCGGCCGATGCGTGGCAATGTGTACGACAAGGCGTCTCCAAGCATTCTCGGCTGCGTGCGCCTCTTGGCAGGTTCATGATGCTGCGGAGGGGTGAAAAGGTGAAGCACTGAATGTCGGCAGGTGTCGGCGTGTGTGACGTATCACATGCACGCCTCCATGCTTGGTGCGGAAGGTTCTAGCAAAGTCTCGCGTACCTCTGCCAGGATCCACATTCCCAAGTTACGTCTGACACCTGCGGCCACAACTCTTTCCCCCAAATCGCAGTAGCCTTGTTTTCCCACGCCGGCACTCGGGGTGTCAGCTCATAAGCAGTTTGCTTGGGTACCGCTGGAATTCCCGAAATTATTGAGCAACTGTTGCGAAACCTACTATGCGGGCTTCAGGTAAGCGAGACCAACCGTCGCAGACTTTGCCACTTTTTTGAGTACGCAAGCAATGTCGCACTTCCTTGTGACTTCGTGCAACAGACGATGCGGCGTCCGCCGGATCGTTGCTGGTTTGCAGGATTTTAAGGTGTGAAAAGCAGCCCCGCAGGCCCCGGATCTTGTCTCAGCATTGTTCTTAGGAAAATGCTTCACAGCCAGACCCCACTGGAGCACGCGCGAGCTGCGGCGGCTATACTGGTTGAGTGCTGCGCACAACTTGTGCATAGAAAAGAAGCGCCGGGCCCCAAGCAAGCATCACAACCAAGTTTACAGACAGCAGCAGTTCATTATGCGAAGGGCATTGGTCCGGGCGCAAAAGCGGGCAGGGAGGCTGGAATTGGTTTGCCTGCCGGCCACGGTCCTGTGTTTGTGTCTCAAGCTTCCTTCAGCAGGCTCTTGTGCTGCGGCAGACAGCACAGCAAAGACACAAGCTACTGCAGTCGTTGCGGACTGGCGCTGCCGTGAAGGGAGGAAACAGCCACAACACTTTCCTTTCAGAGTTTCTCTGACTGGGCACAAGCGAACAAAGCGAGTCACCATGAGCGGTATCTGCTTCAGCGACAGCGTGGGAGTCGTGATCATAGTTAGACTATGTTAGACTGCAGGTGCAGAGTTCGTGCAGAGATAGACGCATGAACAAGCGCATAAACAGGTAGGTGAACGATAAAACCTACAAATGAGTAACAAGGGGTTCGGGGCTCCCTGGACGAAATCGAGGCCTATGGCCCAGAATATTATTTCGGGTCCTGGTTTGTATTCAAGCAGTTGTTGGGAGGGTTTCCTGGATTTTATTCCCGAGTTGCGTGACATAGGCTGCGATTGGGTGGGTGTGGTGTGTGTCTGTAGGGGGTAGGGCCCTGCGGATTTTAGTCTGAGACTCGTGGTGCAGCAAACAAACGGACCAACGGGAACAAACGGGGGAACTGGAGCGAACAAGGGGAATCCGATTGATTATATTAAATGAGATAAGCAACACATTGCGACGTTCTCGGAAGGTGTTGGTGCAGTGTGAGTTCTGCCCAGTGCATGTGCTTGTCTGCAAACGGGCAAATGGCCCAGACATGTCCATGATGTCCTGCCACATCTTTCAAGATTTTGCAGTCGCTAGCGAAAGCATCCATCATTGCACATCGCTGCATCAGGGCTTCAACAAAAGGGAGAGGGTGCGGAATAAAATCCAGGTGCACCAACCCAGGGGTCAGTGGTGGCTCTAGGGCTAGAGTTAGAGCCCGTCAAAATTTGTTCCGTCGACCCCTTGAGCCCCCAGGAATTTATCCGAATAAATCTGCGGCCTTACCCCGAGGGTAGCACCCACCCCCTCTGGGTGACTAAGTTTGTATAAGTGTATAAGTATGTAGGAGTATAAGTATATATACATATGAATAACAGTTGTTTACCTACACAAGTACAATCGGATGTTACAATCGTGTAGAAATGAATGTACATATACATGCATACAAAATTTTAAGTGTGTGTATATATATATAGATATATTTATGGGTCTACAAAACAGCACATGTATCTAGGTGTATTAACATATGAATATATGAACAAGCACATATACACATATATAGATATATAGGTGTATAAACATGTAAAAATGCATAGACATTGATAAAGATTCTGAATGAGCACATGAAGGAATATGTGTTATACATACATACATACGCATATATACATTTTTTGTCTACACATAGAAAGTGCAAACACATATGTACATACATATATGAAAACTTGAGCCAAACACATAGATGTATGTTTGTGTCAGCCGGCATATCTATATGCATATACATATATATATATATCTGTGTGTGTGTGTGTGTCGTAAACTTGGGTTGACTAAACCTGCATGTTTCAAAGTGGGGAAGGGAGGGGAGGGAAGGGAAGGCAAGGGAAGGGAGGGAGGAAGGAAGGAAGGAAGGAAGGAAGGAACGGGAAGGAAGCGGAGAGGGAGGGTGGGAGCGGAAGAACGGAAGGACAGAACAAAGGAAGGACCGAAAAGAAGTAACGATCGAGCCAAGACGGACAAGAAGAAAGCGTGGCGTGCTGAAAAAAACAAACCGACAACAAGAAGCCAAAAGGACAGAGCTGTGACAAGAAGTGAACCGAACACAGTGGAGTTAGTGATTGTACAGAGCACAAGTTAGACCCGCAAATCCAGCATGGTTTTGTCAGGACGCGGGGATGTCGTCTCTAGGTTGCTTGTGTGAGTGTAGCTTTTTTTGGCTGTCGGGACTCAGCTGATCGATCTTTTTGGCATAAAGGGACAGCCCCGCTTCTTTCCATTCGAGGCACGGGCTCTCCCGTCTTTGGACCTTGCGAAAGAAAGATACAGATATTGAAAAGGTGTTTGGTTTGTGGTTCCACGGAAAAGAACAAAAAAGACAAGTATCGAGAGGAGAGAAAGCACGAACGGTATGTTATGCGCATGCCCTGACAGATGCGACCCGACGAGGCACAGATAGTTCCTTGGCGAGGCTGGACGAATCCCTCATACTGACAGTGTGGCTTGCTGCCTTCCTCGCTTGCAGGCAATCACAGAGCCCGTCATCCAAAACGGCGCAGGCATCGGCCAAACGCATCAACTGTCAGTCGTCATCCTTTACTTTAGTGCGACTGCGTCCGGAAAAGCTCCCGAGGTCAACGCGGCCTCGTGCACCTTCTTCCCACCTTTTCTCCCTCCCTCAACATGTCCTTTGTCTCTCGATCCTCCGGTTCTACTGGAAGAGAAAAATCCGCAATTCTCATACTTGAGGATTGTAGTTGGCTGTATAGAGGAGTAGGAAGGATGACACCAAGCAAAGGTGCATGATTGTTGTCTCGTGCCCTTTTGTGTGCTTTGGTCACAGAAAGCATGACCATAATTTGTCATTCACTCCCACGCCGCTGCATGAATTCCGATTCTGAGAAGGGTTTCGCAATCCTCAGCGAGAACTGCAGCTGACATGACGATTGGAACCAGTGAAATTCAGGCAACAAAGCACACGCAGTCAGGAAGCTACGTGCAAGGCGGAAATTCACGCATGTTCTATTGAATCTCAAATCATTTACCAAACATCACCTGTAGAACCTGTGTAAGCCCAGGGCCCTATATGGGGGGTCACGATTCTGGATGAGTGTTGCCCAGCATCCTTGTGTGTGGATTGTTCCTTGTGAAGTTTCAGACATGCCCACCATTCCTCGGATCCAGCTGTTGTCTGTACCGCAAAATCGCTCTCTCTCTCTCTCTCTCTCTCTCTCTCTCTCCCTCCCTCCTGCTGGGCATCTCTGTCTTCCGTTCTTCTTTTCTCCGAGTGTAACCTGCCTCCTTTGTCTGTTGCCGTCTACTGGTTTGACTCCAGTATCCGACCATTCGCTTGGGTGAGGCTCCGCTTCCCATGCAGCTGGCCTCGCTACCGCAGCGGATCTTCTCTCCACCGCAGCAAGCTGCCTTTGGGTTTTCGCCTGCCAATGTGCCCGTTGCGGGCATCCGGCCGCGGCCCAAAAGCCAGTCCAAGGTCAGTAAGACTTTGTTTCTATCGCGAAGAACACGTCGTTGACGAGGCTGGCACCATCGCATCAACCACCTAGAGCCGTCTAAGAGGCAGACCTCGTGACGACGGTCTTCATTTCTTGGCGTGCACGGAGCTTTTCGTGGGGTGTTGCCGACAGACAGTCTCTGCCAGCAGGAAAGTGACAAGCGGTTTTGTCGCATCTTGATTGTAGTGTGAAGTAGCTTTTCGTGCCTGTGCACGTCGTAGGATCTTATTGCTTCTGTAAGCATAGGACAGCTGACTGCTGACCCGCCAGAAGCAGGAAAAGGTTGTCCTTGCACGGCTTGTCTGGCTGATAGCCGTAGTCCAGGGTGACAGTTGAAGCTTGGCACGCAGGAGTGTCCTGCGACTGAAATCACTCGATCCTGCACCAAATGGAACTACGAAGCAGCCTCAGGGGTTCAAGTACCCAAGCCACTCTGTGCAATTGTGGAGAGCTCTTTCAGGTTTGCCTCGACTTCAATCAGCTTCCTTGGGCTGTCAACGAGGCCAGAGAGACTTTGGAGGGCCTGGCCCCAGCCAGCTTTTGAGCTCCTAGCAGTCGGTGCACGCTTGCAGGATTGTGCAAACGGATGGATCCTGTAACGGATACTCCCACAGATCGATGAATATCCAAGACGGTCCTCGGTCTCTCCTTAGTCGGAGTCTGCGTGAAGCGCCCAATAACTATGAGAACACGATGAGTCGAAACACACGAACAGTCGACTCAAACGAAAAGTCGAGAAAACATGACACGCAAGAGGTGAACGCAACACAAGTTACGCATCTTTTGCGTCGTAAGCGCTTTTGGCTTTTCGTGTTTCTTGCGCTTAGTCTGTGTTTTCGCACTTTTCGACCTTCTCGCACTTTTCGTGCATGCTGCTGCTGCTGCTGCTACT